CTGATGGTTTGAGACATCGAAGATATGGAAGAGTAAAGCTTCGGAGGAATAAAACTCCCCGGATTATACAATACCTTGGTGCTTGAGCCCGTACACTCCTTGCCGATCGCGAGTCGTCCGGTAAATTTCCATTGGTTATGAATTCAACGATCGGATCTATCCAACAAGGTTCCTGCTCAATATCCATGACAGAGGGTTGTTGGCTTATGCTCGGCTCCGCTACATATTTGACGTGAACTGTTCTGTCAAGACCATCGATTCCCAAGAAGACGAGCCTGGACAAAGCATCGGCCTGGTGGTTCTTGGTTCGGGGAATTTTCACAATTTCGCAGCTTTTAAATTTCCTTTGAAGGTCATGAACTCTGAGGCAGTACAAGCTCATCTTTTCGTCCTTTCTTTCAAACGTCCCCTCAATTTGTCCGACCACCATCGCGGAAAATTCGTATGTGCTCAAGCTCAAGATTAATTGCAAGTTCTTGCGCAATTATAACAGCTTCGTACTCTGCTTCATTGTTTGTAGCGTCAAATCCGAACCGAAGTGCACATTGTATTTCTGTACGCCTGTCTGGGCTGTTGATTATGACACCTGCACCCGAGCCCGAGCTGTTCGCTGCTCCGTCTACAAAGATTTCCCATCTCTGTGTGTCATTGCTGGTCGGGCTATTCGCTGGCTCCCGAGGCCTTGGGGTGAGTTCCGCTATGAAGTCGATCAAGGCTTGTGCTTTTATCGAGGGTCGGGGTTTGAACTCAATGTCAAATTCGCCCAGCTCAATAGCCCACTTCAATAACCTTCCTGACACGTCGGGCTTCTGAAGTATGTGTTTGAGCGGCTGGTTTGTTAGAACAACGATTGGATGGGACTGAAAGTATTGTCTTAGTTTTCTTGCGGATACTACCAAAGTAAGGGCTAGTTGTTCAGCCAGGAATACCTCGTCTCTGCATCGAGCAATACCTTGCTCACATAGTAGATTGGTTGTTGAGCTCTGCCGACCTCTTTTACCAATACGCCACTTACCGCATTCTGGGAGACTGCTAAGTAAAGAAATAGAGTGTTACCAGGGTTCGGCCTTGTAAGGACTGGTGGGGTTGTCAACGTTTGTTTGAGCTCCTGGAGAGCTTGTTCACACGTCTCATTCCATTCGAAGTCATGACTCCCCCTTAGTGCTTTAAAAAACGGGAAACACTTGTCGGCCGTACGAGACATGAACCTGTTCAGTGCGGCAATGCGGCCAGTCAGCTTTTGAACCTCTTTCTTGTTCTTAGGAGACTCCATGGATGACAGTGCATTTATCTTGTCTGGATTGGCCTCAATCCCCCTGTGTGTGATCATGAAGCCCAAGAATTTACCCGAGGCTACTCCGAAGGCGCATTTCGCTGGATTCAACTTCATTTTATACTTTCGTAAGGTAGAGAAAACCTCTTCGAGATCTGTTATGTGCTGCTCCACCTGCTTGCTTTTGACTACCATGTCATCAACATAGGCTTCAACATTTTTCCCGATCATCTTTGAAAAGATTTTGTTCACGAGTCTCTGATAGGTTGCCCCTGCGTTCTTCAGCCCGAACGGCATGACCTTGTAACAATATATGGCTGAGTCAGCCATGAATGACGTCTTTTCTTGGTCCTCTTTAGCCATGAGTATTTGGTGATATCCGGAGAATGCATCAAGAAAACTGTACAATTTGTATCCCGACGTGCTGTCTACTAGATTGTCGATCCGAGGTAAGGGGTAGCTGTCTTTTGGGCATGCCTTTTTAAGATCTATGAAGTCGATGCAGACTCTCCACTTTCCATTGGCTTTCTTGACGAGCACAACATTGGCTAACCAGTCCGGGTACTGAACTTCCCGAATGAATTGAGCATTGATCAATTTATCGATCTCCTCCCGGATGACTTCCCGCCGTTCTGGTGCGAATTGTCTCCTCCTTTGTTTGATCGGTCTTGCTCCTGGGTTGATATTGAGCCTATGGACCGCGAGACTCGGATCTATTCCAGGAATATCCTTGACACTCCAGGCAAACACATCAATATTGCAGGATAGACAACTTACTAATGATTCCACGATGTCGGCCTGAAGATCCTGACCTATCTTGACTTTCCTGCCGGGCTCGAGCTCGACCTCCACTACCTCTTCCACAGGGGCAAGTCGACTGCCTTGGTCGGTCTCGGGGTCAGGTGACAAGACTTGCAAGACATCGGATTTCATTCCACGAACACTAGTTACATAGCACTGTCTGGCAGCTGTTTGGTCCCCACGCACTACCCCAACGTCATTGTTGGTGGGAAATTTCATAACGAGGTGGAAAGTTGAGACAATTGCCCTGATCTTGTTAAGTAATGGCCTTCCCAGGATGGCATTGTAGGCCATTGAGGTACGAACCACTTGGAATAACGTAATTTCAGTCACCCGCTTTTCATTCGATCCCAGCGTAAGTGGAAGGTTAACGATTCCTTCAGGAATGATCGTACCCCCTCCAAATCCCTGAAGTGGGGTTTTAATGGCTTTGAGCTGTTCGGCCGAGATCCCCATCTTAGAACACGCTTCATAGGAGAGCACGTTGGCCGCGCTCCCATTGTCAACTAGTATCCTCTTTACTTCAAAATTAGCTATGATTGCCGATATGACCAAGGCATTGTCATGAGGATGTGAAAGTCCTTCCATGTCCTGTGACCCGAATTTGATCTCATCCCTATCATCGTGCATTATGCTCAATACCGGGTTATGCCTCCTAGCGTACTGCTTACGCCCACTGTTTGAATCTCCTCCCGACGCTACACCCCCAGTAATAACATTGATTGTCCCTGCAGTAGGCTTGTCATTCGTCCCTTTCTCGGGACCCTTCCCTTGGTCACGGTCATTCCTCGGACGCTTATCATGACCAACGTATGAACTCAGGTACCCCCTTTTGATCAAAGCCTCGATCTCTCTCTGGAGGGCTTTGCAGTTCTCTGTTGTATGCCCATGGCCCCGATGGTAGTCGCAGTATTTGCTCCTGTCTCTAGTATCAGGCGGGGATTGCATTCTGGGTGGCCATTTGAACCCTTTCAAATCCTTGATCTCAATTAGAATGTTAGACCTTGAATTGTTCAACCGGGTCAACGGCGACGGCTGTGCTTCATGCCTATATTTGTTCTTGTTTACTTCCGGACGAGGATTAAGTTCATGTTGCCTTCTCTATTCAGGTTTATCAGAGGTCGGGTGAGAACTTCTCCTCGGGTTAAGTGTTTCCTCCATATTGATGTATTTTTCTGCTCGAGTAAGTAGCTCGGTCACTGACTTCGACGGGTTTTTTGAGAGAGACATCTTGAAGGGATCTCCCCTTATAGCATATGTGAGGGCAGAGATGGCGGCTGTTATGTGAAGGTCGGGTATCTGAAGCCTTTCCTTGTTGAAGTTGGTCATGAAGTCACGTAGGGATTCATTCGGCCCCTGCCTGAGTTGCATTAGGGATGCTGATGTCTTCCTGATGCGCTTGCTGCTGGCGATGAATGCGGAGAACTTGTCTGCCAGGTCCGAGAACGTGGCAATTGAATTGGGCTCTAGGGTTGAGAATCAATCCCTAGCAGCGTTGGTCAGTGTTTGCGGAAAGGCTTTGCACATTACGGGATCCGGTGCTACCTGTAGGTTCATGACGTCCGTATATACATTGAGATGATTGGTAGGGTCAGTTGTCCCATCATATTCCTTCATTTGGGGGAGTTTGAACCTGTTCGGGAGCGGATATGAGAGCACTTCCGGCGTGAAGGGTGTGTTAGGGGTGAAACCCGTTATACCCTGGGTATTCTTCTGAATTCCAGCGGTGATTCCATCCTGAATGATCTTTGCTAGTGCGCTTGAGTCCATGGTGACTAACCTTGGGGCCGAGGTTACAGGTGGCAGCTCTGAGGCTCCGAATCCACTGTTGTCATGAACTTCTCGAGCATCCCTAACTCGAGCATCAGTCATGAACCCTCCTTGTTCTCCTACTACATGTGCTGGTGGAGGTTCAGTTGTCCGATCAGCACCCCTTTGGCTTAGCAGATGGGTCAGAATTATCACTTGCTGACGGAGTTCTTCGAAGGCACCAGCGTCAACTACCTGCGGTTGGACGGTCGGTGCTGCAGATTCCCCTTGATGATCTTGGGGTTCTTCAACTGGTGGCGGGTTTGGTACGGATGAACTCGTTGGAGGAAGACCTGAACGTGTGGTGACCATGGCTTCTGGTAGCGTTTCCCACAGACGGCGCCAATGATGCTACCAAAAAGCGTACCTGTCAACTTCCGGGCTTGACGACTGAGAATGAGCACGAACGAGGTCTTCCGGTACCTGAAACAAAGGTGTCGAGGTGTGTCCTCGTCGCCCCTCCGATGCTTAAGTCAAAGAGAGAATATGGAAAATATTGGATGCTCAAATTGTATGTAAAAACGTACCTCAATAGTGAATGAGAGGGCTGTATTTATAGGAGTAGATAGTGTAGTTCAAGTGGGATTCAACTCCTTATTTTCGGGAGTGATTGTAGGGGCAAGTGTTGGAGCATAATGAGGAGTAGCAACTTACCTTAATTGGAATGTTACCAAAGGGACACACCTTCATGATTTAGGAGTCCTAGGTTTGGATAGTTGGGCAAGGCTAGGATCACTTCCAGGGTAGGGCTACTGCTACTTCAATGGGGAGCACGATGAGGGGGGCGAAGTCCACATCTAAACCTACCCGAGGACATATGTCAATCCCGAGGAGAATAACCCCGAGCTATATTTGGCCTTTTGGTGAAAAGTTGGGGCCATCATCCTCGGGTATATTGCTCGGCTCGGGCTTCATCCAATTTTGGTATGATCATATATATATACTTGTACAGCTTACCATATTCATTAGTGAAATTGGGGATAACCAATTTTTCCCTCCAAATACTTTCTTCTCAATTCATCCCTTGTTCAATATTTTATAGAAACCCTGCACTTTTTCTCTCTCCTTCTCAGATTTACAAAATTTCACTTATTACAAAACCCTTAATGGGGCTCTGATGTCTGTTTTTTCTCCAACGGGCTGCCTGTTGATTCAGTTCTTCTTGGTAATCCAACCGTTGACATATATAACTACCTTCAGTTCCGTCGGCAAATATTTCCTTCTGATCAAGATTCTTTCAATCGAACATCAATATCTACAATAGGTTTCCTACTCAACCGTCAGCAATTTCAGCTTCAATATTATGGGCCATTCTTCTTCATTGATGAACCGTACTGTTGTTTTACAGGTGACCATGACTTTCATGCTCACATATAGGAAAACTTAAGATTCTTGTGATCTTATATCTCAATTTTGCAGTCTCTGTCTAATTTATTTGTCTTCCTCATTGACCTTAGGATCAAAAAAGTCATCAAGTACTGGCATTATCATTGGAGTAGCAGTTGGTTGTTCTGTGCTTGTGCTATTAGTTATCTTTGCTGGAATTTATGCTTTTCTTCAGCGTAAAAGAGCAAAAAGCGCTTCCGAAAGGAGCAACCCGTTCTGTAAGATCAGCCCTTCATAAAACTATAGAACTCTTTCATCTGTAAGTACATGTCATCCTCATATTTTGTGTCACTATCATGATATATGAATGCAGCATCTTGGGACCCTAAAAAAGGAAGCGGCAGTGTTCCACAGCTTCAGGAGCAAAATGGTTTTCCTTTGAAGATCTCAAGAAATGCATTGACAATTTTTCAGAATCCAAGTGCATTGGATCTGGAGGCTACGGAAAGGTTTCTCTCTTGTTAGACTTTGAATAATTCCCTTTTCTTTTAATTAAAATGATAATCGGGGTCCACCAACTGGCACCTCCACTAGAGTAGCCAATAATAAAGAACACATTAATTTGTGCTTAAAGATCTTTTTCCAACTAAAAAAAAACTGTAGTCTGGATAACTTCTTATTTTGGACTAGTTACTGTTCTGATGTCGAGCCTGTCACGTATTTTCGTTTTTCTTTAGCACTTGCGGAGTCACTAATGGAAAAGAAAAGGATGCTCCCCTTCTGTGTAATATTAACTGAACTTACGTGTAAAAATATCTGCTACCGTGATGTTATTCCACCGTGGTCTGTGAGAGATCTAATTAAAGTTTGCTTCTGTACTTTACTGATAGGTTTACTTGTTGGGAAATTTCACACCAATTTCCTTTTCAATTAACCTGCAGGATCTTTTGTTGTTCAGGAGAATATTAGCAAAAAAAAAAAAATAAATAATACAACGCACAAATTAAACAGACCGTCAAAGCTTTTCACTATATGAAAAATTGTTACAATCATATAAAATTTTTCACTCACCAACCAGTCCAAAGTATTACATAGAAATTACAAAGAAAATTCTGTGGCCAGCAGCAATCCAATTCTTGTCTCTTGTGCGTGTCCAATTGTAATATTTGGCTTACCTCTTTGCTTTTCCGAAGCCACAATAGTTGACTTTCTATATCAACCACCAAATTCAATTTCAGCCTTTGTATTGTCCTCACTGTTTGCCTGCTTTCTGTGAGTATAATATAATTCCACCACAATTGAATTCAGCAGCCAAATTTCCTTACTCAACACCACAGGTCCACAACCGTTCCAGCTGCCTCCGCCTATTTCCTTTTTTCCTTATTTTTCTCTCACAGGTCACGCCTCGGCCACACCCTAAAATAATAGACTACCTCAACTATTTATAGGATGACTAATGACCTAATATTATTTACAATAGAAGTCCTCCAACTTTGACTTTTTTAGGCAATTACCTAACATTACAAATGAGCTATTTCTTCTGGACAATTAGTGGTAATCAAGCGTGCTCAGCAGGGATCAATGTAGGGGTCCTCTGAGTTTAAAACAGAGATTGAACTTTTGTCAAGGATTCATCTTAAGAATGTCGTCAGCCTTGTGGGATTCTGTTATGATCAAGGTGAACAAATACTGGTCTACGAGTATATATCCAACGGTACCCTTCGAGATTGTCTTTCGGCTAAATACTTGGATTCTTTCTATTTCATGAACATGTTACTAGTTCTGAATTCCATATTGAGATTAATTCATTCAACAATGTGCCAAAAGTACAGTATAAATGGAGTGACCTCACTTATTATTATATGAATAATCAATAATTTCACCTTCTTTCTCGAGTCTAAAATTAATCTTCTTTCTCATGTTTACTGCCCGAGAAAGAGATTGATAATTTAATAGGCTAATTTTGGTTACTGAGGAAGCATAATGCCTGATGCTATGAATCTAAGACATTTCATTAAATATACAATGACTTTATGTAATAATTGTTATCATTTCTAAGCATGTTTGGTTAATCTTACATGGAGCTTATTAGATGATTCTTTTGGCCGATTCACAAAAGAAGCAAACAGTAAGATACTTATAAGCTTAGCCAAACATCTAGCCTATGCTTGCGATTACCATTTAAATTCTTGATTTGTGTTGCCAAAAAGTAACTCAATAATGAGGACTAACCGACTTGACGATGTCTTATATCATGTTATCACGCATGGAAAACTTTATACAAGGAAAGAGCTTAGAATTTAATTCAAGGAACCTATGTTCCTATGTTGATTCAATGTCAGTAAGCCGCTAAGTTTATGATAACCTGATTATATGAAAGTAACAACTGAGAATTGATATTGAATTAATGACGAAATTACAATGAAAATGAAGGATAAATTCCAGCAATTCGAGAAGCTGGTAGTCTCCCAATTGGATAAGCCAATACTCAATATTTGCATGCCCTATCCCCTAACTTCTGCCCTTATTTATAGATCTATTTTCTAACAGAATTCAGTTTTCCCTCCCCCCACTTGCAGGTGAATTCTTCTATTCCCTTCTAGAATGAGTGAGGTGGATGGGAGCCTATCAATACCCCGGGTTTCCAAAATCACCTTGTCCTCAAGGTGAAGATCAGAGCGTTTTTGTTTCTTATGCCATGGAACTATCCCTGTTGGAATTTCTGTTGAGCTACTCCTGGTTCTGCATTTGCAGCTGCCAATAACATTCCTTGGCATCCTATGCAGCAACAACTGATAAGGAGGCCCTCCACCAGCATTTGTCCCAGCCTCCACCGACCACCAGCAATTAGAATGGTATCCTTGCAAATTCCATAGCCTGCAATGTGAATTGGGCATGCTTCTCCCAGGGCTTTCTTTAATAAGTCCCCATTTTCCAATTGGGCCATATCCAAAATAAAGCCCAACCCATTGGGCCGTAATGGACAGACTTCAGCCCAGGTTTGTGATTTTAAACCAGTAACAATTGTACTCCAGAATCTCCTCCGGAATGCTTCTAGACACCTCTCCTTCCAGATTTTTGTTCATTACTGCCTTGGGAAGTGTTAGTGCTGCCACAACTGTAACGCCCCAAATTTTAATTCATCTTGAGGTGTTACCCAACATAATATCATGTACTTAAAATGCGGAACGATGAAATTCTATTTTTCTAAATAAACAGAACATTCATAACTTTAAATAAGAATCATAAAATTGTGTCTTCGAAAATAATTTAAATATTCTCCAACTAATAAATTTGCTAAATAATATTATTGGAC